CAAGGGGTGTCTCCCCCCCCCCCCCCGCTTCCGTCTTCCCCTCCTCCAAGCACACCATGCTGCGCAGAACAACATCATCCTCGCTGAATCGATGACAATGACCTCGAGGACCTCGGCGAAGAAGATGTTGAACAGCAGTGGGGATAGCGCACATCCTTGTCGCACGCCCTGTGTCACGAAGAACCAGTCCGATAGTTCATGCGCACCCGGGCCCGCATTCCATCGTGGAATTGGCGGATGACTTCGATCAGCTTCGCGGGAATCCCGGCCCTGGCCAGCACCTTCCATAGCATCTCTCGATCCACCGAATCATACGCCTTGTTCAAGTCGACGAAGCACATGTAGAGCGGTATTTTCTTTCTCCACCCCAGCTCCTGGAGGCGGCGCACGACGAACAGCATGTCGACGGTGGATCGCCCGGGTCGAAATCCGCACTGTTCCTCCGGGATTATGTTTTTGGCTTCGCAGAAGGCGCCTAGACGATTGGTGATGATCTTGATGGGGACCTTGCCTACGTGAGATAGTAGCGAAATCCCCCTGTAGTTGTTACAGTTGGACCGGTCATCATTCTCGTACAGCACCTTGATGGTTGCATCCTTCCACTCTCGCGGAATATCTCCTCCGTTCCACACTTTGACGAGGATGGTATGGAGGTGTCCCAGGACGAAGGGTTTGTCGTCATCGATCTAGAGGAACTCGGCAGCGAGGGAGTCATGGCCGGGTGCCTTCCAGTTCTTGAGGCCTTTCGTTGCCCGTGCCACCTCCTCGAGTTCTGGAACATCTCCCAACCGTTGAGTGTCACGTGTCGCTGGCCGCTGCGTCACTCGTTCGATTATGTGTGGGTTCAGGGTGGGGGATTTGGTGTTGAGTAGGGTGCTGAAGAATCTCGCCAACCGCTGGAGGATGTCGTCCCTGTTCCGGAGCAACACGCCGTTCTCATCCGCGACGAACTGCTGTCCCCCCGCTTGTCTCCCCTGGGGCCCACTGATCTCTTGAGGTGTTGGTACAGTCCTCGCATGTCGCGATCTTTGTAGATTTCTTCGAGTTCAGTCACATATCCCCGTCCAGGTGGGCATAAATACCCGTTTCGACTGCTGTAGCCACTCCCTTACATGCTACACGGGGGGGTTGTGTAACCTCCGGCCAACGAGGGGTTATTACATGGGATAACGTGGGGGGGTTCAGGCCGAGCGGGCATAATGTGCCGGGTTATGAAAGCGGTTATGCGCGGGATAGTGAGAAGGAGGTGGACAGAAATAAGTGTGAGCATTCCCCTCCCTTCCATTGCACCCCCCTCTACGTACGGTTGGTTGGGTAAGATAATCAAGCGATGCATCGGCAGCCAACTTTCCTCCCTTCCGGGATGATAAGCGCAGGGAGAACACAAAACGCGGGCGGAATCGAACCAGCAACCTTTGTCTACATATTCTAACGGTATACCGCTGCGCTACATATATATGTTGAAGCATATCACGTCCTTCTCGCATATTCCATGAATCTACATATAGTAGAAGTCATGGGGGCGGGAACAATTGTGGCAACACCACCCACGCGGCCGATAGTAAGAGTACACTTGTTTACTCTGCCGTCCCCCCCACGCAAAAAGCAGAAACCCCGAGTAATGTCTTCCATTACCAATCGTTCAATGGCAAGTTTTTTTTGGTCAGCTAAGTTCATATGTTCCACAGCAGCAACAACATATATACGAAAAATATAGTTCTTTAATGCTGAGGCCCATGTTTATGGTCACCAAATCTTTGAAAAAATGTCTAAATTTTCAAACATTTGCGGATAAAGATTTTGTTTCATTTTTTATGGGAGAAAATCTTCGGCAAAATATTCTCAAAGATTTTGGAATGGGGCAAAAGTCGCTCGTTTGACAAAACGTTTGACAAACATTTTGAAATGGGGCAGGTCGCGAAAATGTTTGGGCGGCGGAAAAGGCAAGTAGCGCCGCATTTTCGGCACATACGCCGCCAACACACACGAACACACCCCAACAACACAAGAACACACGAACATATCTACACACACACTCACGAGAAGGCCGCGCCGACGAGAAGGCCACGCCCAACATGAATGAGGAGTCCATAATCGCCGGGGCTGCTGCCGCAGCATCGAGTTTGCAGAACATTGTGCACACGTTCGACTCCGATGGTGAGCATGATGACCAAGAACCGGGTGGTTTGTTCGGCGATCTGCTGGTGGNGCATCGAGTTTGCAGAACATTATGCACACGTTCGACTCCGATGGTGAGCATGATGACCAAGAACCGGGTGGTTTGTTCGGCGATCTGCTGGTGGAGGAGGAGGAGGAGGAGGAGGAGGAGGAGGAGCGCGCGAAGATTTTTTTCAAAGATTTGGTGACCATAAACATGGGCCTGAGCGCGCAATTCTTTTCGGTAGAGATTTTGTATGCAATACTTCTAATACTCATATATTCGACCACTATTATGACATATTATTTTTAGGAGACAGACACGTGACGGTCATGCAGATTTGTTCCGCGACCGGCTGTGATGTGA